CTCACCATCACCCTCGCCTCCACCGCCTTCGCCTTTGCCGCCATCTCCTCAACCGCCATCGCCGGAACCCCCGCGTCAACCGCCACCGCAACCGCAGTCGCCTTCGCCACCGACATCGCCATCCCCACCCTCCCCCCAACCGCCATCGCCACTGCCGCCCTTGTCACCTTCCCAGCCACCACCTTCCCCGCCGCCATCCCAACCCTCGCCCCCCCCACCCTCACCACCCTCACCCTCCCCCCCGTCGCCCCTCCCACCGTCCCCAGTCCCACGACGACCCCGTTACCCGCGGGCGCCCCCGGTGAGCTCTTCCCCGCCCCGAGCGAGCCGTCCGCCTTCCTGCGCCGTACTGCGCCCTTCCCCAAGGCGGTGGTCACCGCAGAGTCAGCAGGAAAACACACACACACACACACAACGTTACTCGAAGCACATTATTGCAGGCATCGAAGTGAATGATGCCCTCTGCGCGTCACACCCGGCCCCATGATGAGCCCCGTTCTGCGCAAACCCCCCTCCTACACATGGAAGCCCACGGCCACAGGGGGTTGGGGTGTTACCTACGGGCCAATGTGCGGCAAAGATAGACGTATCGCGTGGATAGACCAGACCTCCCGTACTGCCGTACTTGATGCTTACATGTGCCAGGTGTCGCCATGTACGTCTTAAGTAACAGCACACACTGTCTACCGAGCTACCTGTTTGCCGGCTGCCCACTGCGCGCATCCCAATCCTTGCCACTCGCTCTTTACTGACCCGCCTTCCCTCTCATGGCCCCGACCTGGGTGTTTGCCTTGTTGCCTCGCAGCCCGGAACGCCTCCACCACCGCCTCCAGGTGCGTTCCCTGCAGTATGGGTGTATATATGTCTCCCTGGAGGCGTGCGTGTGTGTGCGTGCCTGTGGTGTCACATATAATACACACGTGCCCGTGTACGACATACACCCCGCGCGTACATGGCAAAATGCGTCTGTATGTATGTGGTAGCTGGCGGGCAGAACCGCCCCTGCAGGCGCTGGGAGTGGGCTCGCGTGCATTGCTTACACGCCGTATTACTGTACGACAGCTGCTACAGTGCAACAGTGTTTGACGGACAGAACCAGTGGGCATCCTCAGCACCGAAACCGCCCGCATTCCCCGGCGCAACCCCACCACCGCAGAGAAGGAGTTCCAGGCGTATAAGACGAAGAAGTACATATACCTCATGTCCAATAGGAAGTACACCTACAACGACGCTGCGTACTTCTGCCTTGACAAGGGGTACGGCCTAAT